TAGAGTTTAAATTATATATATATTTTAAAATAATAGGATAATTTGTAATATGGCAAAGTCGAGTGGCAAGCTTGTATACGGCCAAAATTGGGGAGTTCGACTTTGGGGCTACTATGCCGCTCCACGCCTAACCTCGAAGAAGCCCGAAGCAGAGCATAAGGTGCAACCCCGAGGTGTGTCCCTCGAGGGAGCACATCGAAGGCTCACCATGGTCGACCTCGGAGCAGTACAATCGGTGATCGTCATGGAAAGGCGGGAAAATTCCCAAATACACGTGGTTAGAACTGACCAGGCTTACAAGATTAGTACAAGTCCGTACTGAGCCGTTGCATAGCTGTACTAGTAGCTTTTCCTTTCATTAATTAGACATTGTACTTTGTTGGGATTCACCCCTCCTATATAAAGGGGACCATTGTCATTTTGTAGAGGGGGAGATCATTACACAACATATTGAATACAATACAACATTCTCTGCTCTTTGCTAACACTATTGTTTTTCACATTTATTACTTATTCTTTCATTGTTCATTTATTGTTCTTCATTTTTTGCTCATCATTAACCGCAAAAGGCCATCTTTAAGGCCCTTATTATCATTGATTCTTCATCAATCATTTGTAGCTATTAGCCCGTCTAGACCTCGAGGCCCTGCTCCAGCTAGCTTGAGGCCCATCCTTGTGACCTTATTGGTTTGCATTTCTTATTCTCTCTACATATACATAGCATCTATTGCCTATAAACTAGTATTAAGATAAAAGTATTTTTAGAACCACAAAATCAAATATAATTGTAGTTACCATTTTCAAGGTAAACAGTTTGGCGCCCACCGTGGGGCTAAGAATAATAGTGATTGTTTTGGTGCTAGTTTTCTGAAAACGCAAAGTTATCCTTCACGCTTTTTCTTGTCCAAGAATCTTTGGTTTCAGGTCAAAATGTCTAACTCAGCAAATGCACGTGAAAACAACGGCATTGGGCTACAGGAAGAAAACGGTGCAAACGCCGGTATACCACCGCAAAACCCAGGGATAGCATCAGCAGATGCTGGTGTACCACCGCAAAACTCGGGGGAGTCACCAGCACGAATCGCCATCGACGTAAGCTCACGGAATGCTTTGCATGTCGATGTAAGCTCTCCTACCGACGGAAGTGCGTGCGGTGAGGAAAGAGACGTTAGTCTTCAAGTCATTTTTGAAATGTTACAAGCACAACAAGTGGATATTGCTCAGCTAGAAAGCCACCAAAAAACCCCAAGCACAGTAGCACCAGAAACGGCTCTTCGAGTCGAGCAGGTATCGGAGAGATCGAGTAATAGCGGGTCAGCAACTGACCCCGCTATTATGAAGATGCTCGAGGACCTCACCAAAAGAATTGAATCAGGAGAAAAGAAGATAGAAGATAACAATAAAATGGTGGAGAGTTATAACTCGACGGTCGATCAGATCCCGGGCGCGCCCCCGATTCTGAAGAGCGTAGATTCAAAGAAGTTCATACAGAAACCATTCCCACCAAGTGCGGCTCCGAAGCCCATCCCGAAGAAGTTCAGAATGCCCGACGTCCCGCAATATAATGGGATCACGGGCCCAACGAGCACATCACCGCTTTACTTGTGCTGTAAAAGGAAATGACCTAAAGGATGACGAAATAGAGTCCGTCTTGTTGAAGAAATTTTAAGAAACGCTGTCGAAAGGGGCTATGATGTGGTATCATAACCTACCTCCAAATTTGATAGATTTATTTGCCATGTTGGCAGATTCTTTTGTGAGGGCACACGCGGTGCCATCAAGGTCGCCACCAGGAAGTCCGATGTATTCAAAATCAAACAGAGAGAGAACGAGATGCTAAGGGAATTCGTATCTCGTTTTCAGATGGAGCAAATAGAATTACCACCAGTCTCCAATGACTGGGCAGTACAGGCCTTCACTCAAGGTTTGAACGAACGAAGCTCGGTTGCTTCAAGGCAGTTAAAACAAAATTTGATCAAATATCCCGCCGTGACCTGGGCGGATGTACACAACAGGTACCAATCAAAGATCAAGGTCGAAGATGACCAACTAGGAGCCCCCTCGGGCTCAATATATCTCAGCAGGCTCTCTACGAAGGAGCAAAGGTTTACAGAAAGGGAGCCAAGATCAAACAAAGAAAGATACCAGTCGTATGTAGAAGATCGAAGAAACGCGCCAAGGCGTAACATGCCTCGAGGCAATCGAAGGATGGATCGGGGTCAAAATTCCCGGGGACTTATGGGTAAAGCCGTGTTCGATAGGCTCACTGGGCCGGTAGAGGCACCCCAACTATCTGCGTATAACGTCAACGTCGATGTCTCTAGCATTGTATCAGACATAGGGAAAATCAAATATGCCAGGTGGCCGAAACCCGTACTATCAGACCCTACACAGAGGAACCCTAACTTGATGTGCAAGTATCAGGGCACTCACGATCACAGGACCGAGGATTGCAGGCAGCTCAGGGAGGAGGTAGCCCGTTTGTTCAACGAAGGGCATCTTCGTGAATTTCTCAGTGACCGGGCTAAGAACCATTTTCGAGAAAGAGATGCAGACAACAAAAATGAATCAGAAGAACCAGAACACGTCATCCACATGATCGTTGGAGGGGTCAACGCCCCACAGGAACCGGTTTTCAAACGGACAAAGATATCCATCACCAGGGAAAGGCGAACTCTGAGTTACATACTAGAGGATGCTCTCACGTTCAGCAAAGAGGACATCGAGACCTTGTCTCACCCTCATAATGACGCACTGCTATTTCTTTTCTTTTGAATAAAATTCAGATTAAATGTGTGCTTGAGGATCCAGGTAGCTCGGCCAACATAATCAGGTCGAGGGTGGTGGAATAGCTCGGGCTGCTTGACCAAATCGTACCCGCCTCTCGAGTCCTCAATGGATTCAACATGGCGAGCGAAACAACAAAAAGGGAAATCACCCTCCCAGTTAACGTAGCCGGTACGATCCAAGATACCAAGTTAAATATCATCGAAGGTGACATGATATACAATGCCTTACTTGGAAGGCCGTGGATACACAGTATGAGGGCAGAACCCTCGACCCTCCATCAAACGATGAAATTTCCAACCAAGGATGGAGTAAAGGCAGTATACGGGGAGCAGCATGCAGCAAGAGAGATGTTCGCGGTGTATGACATGGCACCAGCATCGACGCCCTCTACATCGAAGAGGCCAAAAGGCAAGTAAAAAATCAGCTAACAACTACAACCTACATTATCGGTTACACCCACACGAGTGAGCAAAGGGCCTTGCCGCGTCCTCGGAACAAGTAGTTGGAATTTATCAAAGCTCGAACGCCATCGATAAGGTACAACCCTCTCCCTTTTTATTTATGTCTTATACTAACTTACTGCAGGTGTTCAATTAAGAGGAATCGAAGCACCCTCCAGCCCGAAGACCTTAGGTTTTAAAGCATGCGTTGCGCTCTTTTTCCCTTAGACCGGATTTTATCCTGAACGGGTTTTACCGAGGTTTTTAACGAGGCAATATCCATATGCTACCTAAGGAGAACTCATTAAGTATTCAAGGCGTCTCTTCAATCAACCTCAAATACTGGAGGGCATCACCCCAGGAGATCACCCCTTGTAAGAAACCGAACTACGCCTAGGAAGACCTCGATAGGAGAATATTGTATTGGGCCAAACGGTCAAATGAACCGTGTCCATACAAAATAGTCGAGCCTCCAAAGGCAAAAAACATGTACACATACATCAAATGATTGAGGAAGCCTCTTTGCTTGCCAAAACACTCGAAGAAATTCAATACTTACATGCAAAACGGCTCAAGGGCCGAAAACCCTCGAACACTCAGGGACTGTCGTTGACAGTCAGCTCGTCGAAGCCATCAAAAACTCAAATTCGTAGGACCTTAATAAGGCAATTTTGAGCTCGTGAGACCTCAATGAGGCCGCATCGAATCTGTAAGACCTCAATGAGGCAATACCAAGCTTGTAATACCTCAACGAGACATACTCAAATTTATAAGACCTTAAAAAGGCATAACCCTAATATGAAGGCCAAGGCTATATATCAAACTTCTAAGACCCCTAAAAAGGCATACCCTCGATATAGACGCCAAGGTCACCGCACGCGGGGACTAAAGACTACGGTCGAACTAAAAGGCTACGGCTGAATTAACGCGGCTCGGAGATGTCTGACTGTCACCACAAAACTAAAGGCCTCCAAATACTTCGAAAATACTTCAAAAAGAATCGGTTAATCAGGCTACTCTCGGCACAAGCAAAGGAGCTTCGATAATATCAGCTCCGAACCATTAAAAGGCTTCGAAAGGTTCAAGCGAGCCTCCTAAGGTACTCAGCTATCGTCACATATCGACTCATAATCAAGGTTCTCGTTTGAGCCATCGAAGAGTCGGACGAACATAAAACATGCCAAGGCATAATCAAAACTTCAAAAGTCTTTAGCCAAAATGAGGAAAAAACTATAGCCATATTATAGGTCGCATCGACCCAATCTAAAAAAGAGCCTAAGGGCCAATGCGTAAGAGCCTAAGGTCCAGCCTAAAGATCCTAAGGGCCAATGCGTAAGAGCCTAAGGGCTAGCCTAAAGAGACTAAGGGCCAATGCGTAAGAGCCTAAGGGCCAGCCTAAAGAGCCTAAGGGCCAATATGTTGAAAAAACCTGAGGCCCAATGAGCCCGAGTCAAAATTTAAATCGAGAATCGAACACCGAACGGTCAACTACTATGAAACACTCTTTGAGCATGAAAACCTGAGGGGTTTATGTCATAAGTTCGACACATCGAGCTGGTTATCGACAAACGTCGAAATTTATTCAAAAAAGGCAAAGGGAAGACAAGAAATGACGAGAAGCAAAAATCCATATACATATATGATAAAGATTCACGAAGACGTATTTACAAGGCTCACGCTTGAAGCCCTTACACAAAAAAGGAACAAATGAAAACCTAATCTGCTGGCGGGGTTACTTGACCAGACGGTGCTCCCTCGGAAGTTGTGGCTTCAACCCTGGTCCTCGGCCCCCGGAACATCACCGGCCTCCTCCCCTTCAGGGACTTCACCATCATCTTCATCATCCTCCGAGCCGCTGGTCGATTCATTGGCTGAGCCACCATCGGAAGAAAGCTGAGTTGCCGTTTCTTCCTCTTGGACCTTTATCCTCTCGATCTCGACTAACAGATCGATGGCCCCTGCATATATATCCTCGAAAGCCTGTCTCCGAGATCTCAATCGGGCATGCTCTAAAGCTCGGGACAGTTTAAGCTTGGCCTCTTCGGACACCTTCCTGGCTCGAGCATTTGTAGAAGCAGCATCCTTTCGGTATGAAGACATGAGCGCATCGGCTTCGGATTTAGCTGCATCTAGCTCAGCATCTAGCTCAACATGGAGATCTCTGTACTTGCGGCTTTCTTCCCTCGCCCCTTGAAGTTGGCACTGAGCCGAGGTCAGACTCTCTCGAAGAATTTCTTTATTGGAAGACACCTCATCCATGTGCTGCTTCAACCCAAGGATTTTGGTATCTCTGACTCTAAGCTCCTTTCGCTTTAGATCATCTTTTTGCTTGAGCTGAAAAGGTCAAATTAAGGCATCAAATGCTCTATTGGCCGAAGCACAAAAATAAGCCCACGAAGGACGTATTACCTGCTCATCGAAATCAGCCCGCACTCGAGATATCCTCTCCGAATGAGCTCGAAGGTCACCTAGCTCCCCCTCCTTTTGGGCATAAAGGGCCTTAAGTTCGTCTAATTCAGAAACAAGCTTCCCAAATTCATCCTCACAACAGGACAACTCTTCTTGTGACTTGGAAAAGGCTTGGTTGGACAGCTTTAAGGCCTGAAAATACAGAAGAAGAGAGTCGGAAAAACAAGAATCAAAACACAAATTACAGCGGTCAAGTCAAGATTACCTGTTGCCGAAGCTTCTCGGCTTCTTCAAAGATCAACGAAGCGTCGATATCGGGGCCTTCCTCAACCCCAACAAAACATCCTTGAAATGTACTGTTCTCTCCGAGGGATGCCCCTTCGACGGGAATTTTCATATCTTGGGTATCCCGTATTTGTCTAGGAGAGAATGACGGGCCCGGTAGAGGCTCATCTACATTGATCACCTCGACTGGTTCAACGAGGGCCCTCTCCTCCCTCCGAGGTGCTTCATCATTGGTTTTGTCAGGTCCATCAACAAGGTGCCCCTCGGCAACCGATGTGCTTAGGTTGTTGGTCGGCTCGGGGACTTCATCCGAACTCCCCTCAGCAATTCCCCCATCTCGGGTCGGGACCACCTCGGCAGCCTCCGACCCAGCCACCTTCAGCTCAGAAGACTTTGAAGCAACATCACTTCTTCTCCCTCTAGGAGCCAACGGGCAGTCATTACTCTCTTCGCCCTCGGAACAAAGACCTTCGGCCGCTTCCCGAGTTAAGGCCGCTAAATCAACCTCGGGCTTTTGAACCTTAGCTTTCTTTGGCTTCGGGGATCCAGCCAGCGATTTCTTCTTTCTCTTTTTTTCATTAGTAGGCCTCGGGGTATCTGCTTCCCCAGGCGGGGGTTCCCTCATTAAAACAGCCTCTCCAAGGCCTACATAGGCACAAGGATGAGAATACTAGCGAGAGGTATCCTTCTCTAAAAAAGATCTCAAGTATGAACAGAGATGAAAACTCACCATGATTTTTTCCTCCCAACGGGTCTTGGCCAGATCACGCCACACGCGCTTGGCATATGGGCAGATCGAATCAAGTCGTCGGACCCAGCCTGAGAGATCGTTGACAACACCGGGGTACCACTCGACAGCTGTATCACCGAAGAAAGTTAATTCAAAATCAAGAAAAAATATCAGACTAGCAAAACATGTTTACTTACAATTCATGTTCCATTCCTCGACGAATGGCATTCTCTCAACAAGGATCAGGTCCGAGGTCCTGACTCGGACAAAGCGACTCATCCACCCTCAATCCTTCTCTTCGTCGATGCTAGCAAAAAATGCCTTCGGGGATCGACATTTTATCTTAATCAGGCCACCTCGATAAAGTCGGGGGCTATAGAGACTGATTAGATGATCAAGGGTAAAAGGCATCCCCTCAACCATGTTTGAGAGATACTTAATCATATAAACAATGCGCCGGAATGATGGATAGATTTGTCCAAGCGTCAACTGATATTGGCTACAGAAATCAAGGATCACTGGATCTATCAATGGTAAAGAGGCTTCTACCTGGCCTAGGGTGAAAGGATATGTGTATACACTGAGGAAACCAGCCTTGTGCTTGGTTATGTCTTCTCCTCGTGAAGGAATCTCTACTTGCACCACTTTCCCCCAATGGTAGTCGGCCTTCACCTTCTCAGTTTCAGTTATTAGACTGATATATCGAGACATGGGTTCGCATCGTCCCGGAACGGAGGAGGGGTTTTTGACCTAGAAATCAGAAGATATATCGCAAGGCCCGGGAATACACTCCTCGATACTAGGAGGAACTATCGCTTTACCTTTGGTCGTTCTAGAAGACGACGAAGCTTTTTCCTTTTGAGGAACAGTTTTAGAGGTTTTTGCCATTTCTTAAAGCGGAAGGTCCAAGAAAATGGAAAATGTCGTTAGGAAAGAAAAGGGAGAGTTCAAGGAAATTGAAAAGAGCTAAATGAAATTTTAGAAGGACTAAGAGAATGATATCCACAAAGTTATGGGATTGGTCTATTTATAAAGATCGTTTGAACGTGCTATGAAAGCCAAAAGGCCGACCGTTGGCCGCCTACAATTAATGCTTCTGGGAATCATACAAAAAGCAACCCTTCAGTCTCTTCAACCGATTATGTCATGATGTTGACGTCAGGACCCAGACATCGGGACCAGATCGCTGGAAATTATTAAAAAGCGGTCTACGAATCAAGTTCGAGCAAATGCTCGTTTAATTATTTTAGCCCGAGGGCTACCCGAGTTCGAGCCATTTCCCACTCGGGGACTATTCATAAAGCCTCAGGGCTATATCTACTTCGAGTTTGAGCAAACGCTCGCTTGACTATTAAGCCCAAGGGCTACTCGAGTCGAGCCAGTTCTCACTCAGGGACTATTCATAAAGCCTATGGGCTATATCTACTTCTAGTTCGAGCAAATGCTCGCTCGACTATTAAGCCTAAGGGCTACCCGAGTCGAGCCAGTTCTCACTCAGGGACTATTCATAAAGCCTTGGGGCTATATCTACTTCGAGTTCGAGCAAACGCTCGCTCGATTATTAAGCCTAAGGGATACCCGAGCTTGAGCCAGTTCTCACTCGGGGATTATTCATAAAGCCTCAGGGTTATCTCTACTTCGAGTTCGAGCAAACGCTCGCTAGATTATTAAGCCCAAAGGCTACCCGAGTTCGAGCCAGTTCTCACTCGGGGACTATTCATAAAGCCTCAGGGCTATGTCTACTTCGAGTTCGAGCAAATGCTCGCTCGACTATTAAGCCCAAGGACTACCCGAGTCAAGCCAATTCTCACTCAGGGACTATTCATAAAGCCTCAGGGCTATATCTACTTCGAGTTCGAGGAAATGCTCGCTCGATTATTAAGCCCAAGGGATACCCGAGCTCGAGCCAGTTCTTACTCGGGGACTATTCATAAAGCCTCAGGGCTATCTCTACTTCGAGTTCGAGCAAACGCTCACTCGGTTATTAAGCCCAAGGTCTACCCGAGTTCGAGCCAGTTCTCACCCGGGGACTATTCATAAAGCCTCATGGCTATCTTCACCTCAAGTTCAAGTTGACGCTCTCTCGATTATATTAGCCCAAGGGCCACCCGTGTTCGAGTGTGTCCTCACTCAGGGACTATCTATAATGCCTTAGGGCTATCTTTATTTTAAGTATAAAACAACTTTTCGCTCAGTTGGAGGCCGCCTGAGTTCAAGTAAACTCTCACTCGAGGACTATCAACGAGGCCTAAAAATGCTAAGCTTTATTTCAAAAGGAGTCGAGACCCTGCTCTCACTCAAATTCGAACTCAAAAGTCCCGGCGACCTAAGTTTGTATCAGATCAATCCAGACTTACTCCGAGGGATGACAAAGAGTTCCAAGGAATATCATATTAACCAATCGAGAACCTAAGGGATTACTATGCCCGGGTCCAGTATTCGGACCGATGGCTGTTAGGACGATGGGGACGATAGAGAGTCCTCTAGCCCGGTCCCGTCCTTGCGTCCTTGTATTCTGATTGTTCTTACCGAGCTAGCGAATTGATAAAGTCATACGCTTGGATTCTTCACAAATGCCGGCAAAATGGAGTTCAGCACAAGTCAAAGGCAAATTGAAGAAACTTTTATAGTAATAAAAGACGATTACAAAAGCCCATGAGGGATCCTTACACAGAAACAAAGAAGCAAAAAACGACTGCTAAAAAGCCTAATCTACTTTCGAGGGTACATCTTCGGGAGCGACATCTACGAGAACTGTTTCCTCGGGGACCCCTTTTCGATCTTTAGAGCGGCATCTTCGAGAATCTCATCCGAAGCAGCAATAGATGAAAGATAAGATATAGCCTATCAAAGAGCAAAAGCTTTTAACAAGGAAGGAAAATTGTGGCCTGGTGAAAAATTTGGCGAGTATGGGTCTTGTCAGCACTACTGTTGTGAAGCCACTTCTTGAGACATTGCGCCGGTGTGGGATGAAAAAGTTAGTAGATAATTCCACCTCACTCCATGGAAAGCAAAAGAATGAGGCGCCACACCAGGTTGAAGTTAAGGGAGATGAGCAGCAATTTACGGTCCACATATCTTCTGATGCGGGAAGAATTTGAGGCCCTTCTCTCATCATTTCGAGCCAACAACAACAACAACAACAACTCAATATAATCCCACTCAGCGAGGAAAAGCTTTGAAAAAGCGCCATGCATAACTGATAAAGTTGCTGCTGAATGACCTTATGGTCACGAGTTTGAACCATAAAAATAGGACTTTGGAGGAGGATGTAGAGAAGGGAAAGGGCCAAAGGCTGTTGAAAAAAGATCGAGTGAAGTCCTGGCTCAAAACAATCCCCCATTTATAGAGGGACAGTAACGTAACTGACGGTGCAATCAATGCCCTTGGGGAAACGTATCAATGGCGCAATCAATGCTTTTGGGGAAATGGATCGGCGGCGCAATTAACGCCTTTTGGAAAAATGAACCAACGGTATAATCAATGCTTCTTGGGACGAACTGATGGGATGTTTTCAGTCACTTGGAACGCTTATGTCATGAGCATGGCATCATCATGAGAGGTTCGAGAAAGTCGAGGTCAAGATCGTTTCTTATATTTTTATTTTAAAAAATGCGGGGACTATCTGTATACGGCCAAAATTAGGGAGTTCGACTTTGGGGCTACTATGTTGCTCCACGCCTAACCTCGAAGAAGCCCGAAGCAGAGCATAAGGTGCAACCCCGAGGTGTGTCCCTCAATGGAGCGCATCGAAGGCTCACTATGGTCGTCCTCGGAGCAGTACAATCGATGATCGTCATGGAAAGGCGGGGAAATTCCCAAATACACGTGGTTAGAACTTACCAGGCCTACAAGAATAGTACAAGTCCGTACTGAGCCATTGCATAGCTGTACTAGTATCTTTTCTTCGTCATTAATTAGACATTGTACTGTGTTGGGATTCACCCTTCCTATATAAAGGGGACCCTTCTCATTTTGTAGAGGAGGAGATTATTACACAACATATTGAATACAATACAACATTCTCTGCTCTTTGCTAACACTATTGTTCTTTACATTTATTACTTATTCTTTCATTGTTAATTTATTGCTCATCATTAACTGCAAAAGGCCATCTTTAAGGCCCTCATTATCATTGATTCTTCATCAATCGTTCGTAGCTATTAGCCCGTCTAGACCTCGAGGCCTTGCTCCAGCTAGCTCGAGGCCCAGCCTTGTGACCATATTGGTTTGCATTTCTTATTGAATCTACTTAAACCTAGCATCTATTGCCTAACAACTAGTTTTAAGATAAATCACTTATTTTTAGAACCACAAAATCAAATATAATTGTAGCTACCATTTTCAAGGTAAACAAAGCTAAAAAGAAGCCACTTGAAAATTTTAGAAAAAATTAATAATTAAGACTTAAAAGAGGAAATATAATTAATAAAAATAATTGAATAATGTTATCTAATGCATAACTAAAAGAATTAATTAATGAAGTTATCTAAAGCATTAAGCAATTTAAAATTAATTCAAAAATATAATATAAGAGAGATAAAATTTTTTTAATTGAGAATACTTTGTTTTTTAAATACAAAAATATATCACTTTTAAATTTTGCATCTAAATTCTAGGATCTAGGATAAAATAGTTATAATAATAATAATTATACGCATAAAAATAGATAACGAAAATTAAAAGTAATAAAATTAAAACTCAATATTTTATTTTGAAAATAAAGGAGAACGAAAATTTAAGCTTGAAATTGCTATATATGCGTTAAGCTACATGTTTTAGATTTATGTATCTTTTTCTTATGTGTAATAATAAAATAATAATAATCTATGTATCTTTTATATATTTATTTTGTTAAATAAAATTTGAATATAAAATAAATCAAATCTTATCCAAGCTTTAGAATTGGAAAATAAAATTCTGAAGTCGAAAAATATACTGTAAAGACCCGACCGGTCGTTTTGAACTCTAGAGCGTCGTTCGGCGGTTTGAGGCCATGAGTAGCTTCACGTCGGATATTATGACTTGTACGTGTGGTCCGAATTAAATTTCGGGAAGTTCAGAGTTGATTTGGAAAGAAAATTCTAATTTCGGAAGCTTTAAGTTGGAGGATTTGACTTAGGTTTGAATTTGGAGTAAACAACCATGGAATCGGGATTTCACGGTTCCAACAGATTCGTATGATGATTTTGGACTTGGGCATATGTCCGGATCGGGTTTTGGATGACCCGGGAGCATTTCAGCGCCTATTGTGGAAAGTTGACATTTTAGAAGAATTTTATAAATTTGGGTTGAAGTGCATTTTAATGTTATCGATATTTGTTTGGGAGTCCGAGTCTGGGAATAGCTCCGTATGGTGATTCTGGTATTGGGAGCGCGTTCAGATGTGGATTTGGAGGTTCATAGGTCGTTTTGGGGTCATTTGGCAAAAGTTGGAGGTTTTTGGAAGTCTCACCGGAAGTGGACTTTTTGATATCGGGGTCTGATTCTGATTTCGGAAGTTGGATTAGGTTCGTAATGTCAAATGTGACTTGTGTGCAAAATTTGAGGTCAATCGGACGTGATTTGATAGGTTTCGACATCGAATATAGAAGTTTGAAGTTTATTAAGCTCGAATTCGGGTGCGATTCATGATTTTGATGTTGTTTGATGCGTTTTGAGGCCTCAAGCAAGTTTGTTTTATGTAATGGGACAGGTTGGTGTGATTGGACGGGGTCCCGGAGGCCCCGTGTGTATTTCGAGGTGGTGTCGGACCAAATTGGGCTAAGCTGCTGCTGCTGGTACTGGTGTTGTTCTTCGCGAACGCGAGGGAATTGTCGCGTTCATGAAGAAGGAGTTTTGGACTGGGTCATTTGCTCTACGCGTTCATGATCAGGGAGTCACGTTCG